CTTCCTGGCCCCCAGCATCCTTCTTGCGATAGAAGCAATAGTTCCTCTGGCAGCCAATTCTGCAGTGTTAGTCTAGAAATAAATCTCAGAGGCCAATTCTACAGCATGCTCCTCTAGCTCCTCCAATAATTCCCTGTTTTATATTTCTCAAAAATGGTTAAAGGAGCCCTGTCATCTGCAACTAAGTCTTGATGGAGACAACACTTGGTACCGGAAATGGTTATAGGCATTAGACTCCCCAAGAGGGAAACCTGAGATAGCTTGTATAACCTGACTGGGTTGAAGGTAGTGAAGCTCCAGTCACCATTAGACAATAGAAAACTAGTGTCCTATAGCACCTAGTGGTAAAATAGGACTTAAATCATGATGTGTGGTCATCTGGAATGCAGCATCTATTGAGGGCATAGCTTTGGCAAATGGAATGGTGGCTGCTCTCGTTCTGCTGGTGCCAGTACCTGGGATCTGAGAAAGGTGTGGTGAACTAAGATAAAGGGGCAGTAGGTCGGGCTTACCTTCTTGTCCCAACAGGGCAGCTTCCTTAAACATCCACATTACTCTCCCCTTAACAGTATTTAACATTCGCCTGAAATTGGCGGAGGCTTCATGGCTACGCCATGTCCTTCTTCCAAATGGAATTGTTACAGTTTTGGATAAGTGAGCATGTATGTGTTTATACACACAAGTGAGTAAAAGTTATTCCCCAAAATGACTAAAATCTGTTTTAGGGAAAACAAAACTGGCTTTCTGGTCTTTATGGATATGCCACATTAGTACATTTCAGCTTTTTTCCACCGATTATCCAGCCTTGAATTTGAGAAATGCCAATCCATCAAAGACACCAGAGGATGGCTGCTGTCTCCTCTTCACTCCTTCCTAGGATGCTCGACAAGTCCCACCAGTTGGGAGATTTGAGCTGGTCCTGTTGGTGACATCCATGAAGAGCCCCCAGAAGTCCTTCCTCACAATTTGTAATTGTGTTTACCAAAATCTGTTCTGAAGTTTCCTGTTCCCGGTGCCAGATAATATTGTCTACACAAGAACAAATTGAATCTATGCCACACAGTCATTTCCAGGCACCCCCAAAGTTGATGTGTTTGACTATGCAGTAGAGATAAAGTTTCTCCAAGGACCAACTCTCAGCATATTTGGCAAATTTAATTTCATATTCTTACAAGTTTTTTCCTGTGTTATTTATTTTTTGAAAATCCACAGAAGTGCTGTAACCGTTTTTCTTTTGATAAGACTCAGGCAGCCACAGCTCAGTCTTCCCTTGGGTTCTCAGCAAAGCTGTTTTATCTCTCCACCTTGTGGCCAGAGACCACTCAGAGATCAAGGCTTCTGCAGCCCCTTCTGTCTTGAACGGAGCAGAGGAAAGAGAAGCTGGGCTGCTGAATATGTAAATCCTCCCTGGCAGACAGCCTTTGCTGTCTGTTCTCGGTGTGGGGAGGCTCATTAAGGGCTGAACTCTAACCTAAGACCCCAAAGGCATAGTAGGAGACTCTGTGAGGTGTTCGCGGAGTGAATATTGAAGGTTAAAGAAGAAAGCTGAAAGGAATCTCCATGAAAAGGATTTTACTATGGTGGTGTGTTTTTTGGCCTTTTTTTCAATTGAAAGGATAGATGTAGCCCCATGTTGAAAGAAAGAGGAGCGTCACTGGCAAAACTGATCCTAAAGAACGCTAGCCTCTAGACTGTTTCAGAGCTTGGGATTCCTCAACTGGGCCAAGTAGCTATTGTACTCCTCAGGGCCATTTGGCTATAGACTGAGATAACAGCAGCCATGATGCTCAGCAACACTGACTTCAAGAAGCAGCGATATCCAAGCCAGGCAGAAGAGAATAGTGATGAGTTCCAATGTATCAGTGAGTGGCATCTGGAATTAGAGTTTTGCCAACATGATTCCCACAGCTGGGGGGCTTTCCTTTTGTCTTCTTTATTTTCCTCATTCTGTCTTACTTTCTGATTGACTCTTCGGGGCCCCTGTCAGTATTACACCTTGATTCCAAGCTCCCTTTACCCCCTGCAGCCTGCTTGATGAACTTCTGAAAGCTGCCTATCCATCTCACCATTGCAGCTGTCTCCACCTAACAGCGGCTCATACATATTTGTTAAATGCATGAACTGCTGGCTCTTGGCTTAGGACCTGGGTTGTAGCCCAGCCTACCCTGATCCAGGCTTCCTGGAATTACATGGCTTCCATCTGAATGGCTCCAAGTATTGCCTCTTCCTGAGATTTCTGTTGGGAGTCCCACTCATCAGATTCGACTGCTGGGATAGTGATGTTGGCCCCGATCAAACTTGCCATGAACTTTGAACATGCTATAGCTTTCTCTGAGACAGAATTATTCTCCATTCCCTGAACTTATCCTCTTTTTTACTCTCAGGTCTTTGCTCTTTCTGTCCTCCTGCTCAGTGCTCTCTTTGTCCCTGCTCACTTGGCTAACTCCTACTTAATCTGCCCACTCCAGCCTTTGCCTCAGATACCACTTAATAAAGGAAGAATAACCTAACTTTCTGCCTCTGCATCATCCCAGGTATGGTTTATAGCTTCTGCCTCCATGACCCTGCTTTCTACGGGAACGCTTACTAATCCTCAGCCTTGCTTTCTTCTCCAATAAACCTTGAGCTTCTTGAGAGGTTGAAGTACATCTACCTTGGTTACTGGTGTGTCCTAAATACATGGAAGATGCTCAAAAAATATGTATTGAATAAGTGGTTTTAGGCAAAACTTCCAGTTACTCAATGAAAAGCACTGGAATGACCCTCCACCACTCTGTACGCATTGAGGGGTTGAGGAATGGTAGTGAAATTTACAAAGAAAGAGCAGATGGAGGAGGAAGGAAGAGAAGAGGAATCTGGAAAGGAGGCTCCCAGGAGGGATTTTGCAGACACAGAATTTGGGAAGTAGGTTTACAGTCCTGAAATAAAAAATAGAGTGGGAAGCAGGAGCAATAGTGATAGAATCTCAGAGGATGGCTGAGAGCTGCCTCTAACACCGGGGCTAAATATTAGAAGTTGCAGGTTTTATCTAAAGGGGCGATATCGCCTTATAATGGACCATGACAATTCTGATGCAGCAAGACACAGGGATAAAGTTATGTTTCCCTTTAGTCTACTTCCTCCCACTTTTTGAGGTATGTTTTATCCATCAAACATTCCTTAGTCTTGGGAGCTGGGATCTAGAGGGGAATGAAGACATAGTCCCTGCCTTTGAGGAACTCAGACTCTGCTGGAATAGATGGGCATAGGAATAAACAACTTCTCAAAATAATCAGGGGTTGCCAAAAAAAGTGAGATGAGGGATGTCTTATACTGTTCGGGTTGCCATAACAAAATATCATAGACTGGGTGGCTTATAAACAACAGAAATTTCTTTCTCACCAGTTCTAGGTGAGAAATTTCTAGGACCAGTTCTAGAGGCTGGAAGTACAAGTTCGGGATGCCAGCATGGTCGGGCGAGGGCCCTCTTCTGGGTTGCAGACTTCTCATTGGATCCTCACAGGGTGGAAGGGACGAGGGAGCTCTCTTGGGCCTCTTTTGTAAAGGCATTAATCTCATTCATGAGAGCTCCACCCTCGTCATTCGATCACTTCCCAAAGGCCCCACCTCCTAACACCATCACATTGGGAAGACATAGCTTTATGAAGGGCCGTGGTGTTTTCAGGTTACATGGAAAAGTTCCATTTGGCTGGAGCAGAGGATGCGGTGGGAGGAAGGCACAGAGTGGTAAACTGGGCACTGGGGTTCAGACTGTGGAAAGGTCTGGAGTCTGAGGCGAAGGAGGGGGGAGCCTCTGAGTAACTCTGTGCTAGAGGTAAACAAACTACAACCCATTGGTCAAATACGCCTGTTTTTATAAATGCAGTTTTCTTGAACACAGCCATGGCCGTTCATTTATTTATTCTGTCCGGCTTCATTAGCTCTGCAAGGACAGAGCTGAGTAGTTTCAACAGAGGCTGTCTGGCCTGAAAAATCTAAAATATATACTTTCTTGCCCTTTATAGAAAGATCTTGTAGACCCTTGCCTTAAGCCAAGGAGTGACGTGGTCAGATCAATATTTTAGAAAGATCATTCCTAAAACTGTGAGGTTCTGTGTAGGACCTCGTTTGGAAAAACAAAGGATTGTGCTTCTAGAAAACTTGAAAACCTCCAACTTGCTCGATAAACCCCCAAATCCCTCTGCCATGAGCAGCATCATTATGATTTCTTCACCTTCCTCTAACTTGTGATCATGTTTATGCACTGGTCTCCAAGTCAGAGCAGATGCCTTGTCTTAAAGGCAAGCATTTTAATGTTTTTTGTCTTTGAATCCCTGATGTCTGTGTTACTGCCTGCTACCTGTGGCTTAATAACTGAATTTAAATGAATTGTTGAATTACTGCCCAACCAACATGGAGAACCACCATCATCCCATTCACCCCCTCTGAGCAGTCCCTGGCTGAGTGCCCTTCTGTAGGCGAGAAGGCAGGGAGGGGACACTCTGGTCCTTTGCCCTGCCTGGAGCCCTAGGAAGGACTCTGATTTGAGAAGGCTTTTTTACTGGTGTCTCTGCATCTCTTTTGCCTTCAGGTAACTTGAGAAGATCTATTTTGAGGTCTTTTGCACTCTGTGTCCCCAGGCAGGCATCTCCCTGGCTGAGGTCCTGGAGAGAAGAAAGAGGGGTGAAGGTTGGGTTTCCTTCTGGCCACCAGGAGTCCTTTATGGGGCAAATCTGCATTTGCAAATGAAGATTAAGGACCAGGCAAACAACTTAGCAAGTGATAACTGAAAAACTGGCCTAATCTTAATGAAATCTGCAACATTTATTTATATAAGTCATAATGGCTCTTGCTTGCTTTCCATGTAATTTGCTCAGACGGGTTTGGAGTGACACAGCCAATTGTTTTGCCACTGCCTTTGACCTATTTTGAAGAGCTCCTCTGCAGCCCCCGACATGCTAACAATGACATCCAGCTGGTTCAGTGGGACCTCAAAGCTGTTGAAAATGCATTACGTTTACCTTCTCATTCTCCCAGGAAAGCCAGGAGTTATCTTCTAACTTGAATCTCAGAAAGGATGTAGTGGACAGAAATGTGGGTGTGATGACTCTTACTGGGGTTCCCTTAGCAATAATTTCCCTCCATCCCATAATAAGAATTCTCCATCCTGCTGTCCTCAGGGATTCCAGAGTTCTCAGAATCCAGTTCTTTAGCATTCACTGCTGTCATTATGACTCAGCTTGCCAATCTGGGCACAAAGAAGCTAGATACAAGTAGGTCAAGGCAAGGTACGTAAGCAGGATGCTGACAGTACCCCCTCACATCCTCCCTCTGATTCACTCCCTCCCCTGGCACCCCACACCTGTCACACCCCTCCGGTGCCCAACTTCACAGTCCTTCCTTCTTGTCTCTTTAATTTGGTGGTCCTCCAAATGCGTTCTGAGGGCAATCTACATCAAAACTATCTCAGGTATTTGTTTAAAAAATTCTCTAAATCTCTTGGGACGAAGCCCCAGAATACGCTTTTTTACCAGACTCTCTGGATGATTCTTATGCTCATTCAAGCTTGAGAACCACTGAGTTTAACACGGATACTGAGATGACTTTGTTCTTTCATTGTAGCTTCGGTCCGTCCTGTTTTTAATTTGTCCTGTACCTAAGACTCCTTCCTATGATCTTCCCATTTCTTTTTATCCATAACTAAGATTACCTTGGTCATTTCTGATTCTTTTATCTTATTCTTTTATCTCTAGGGTCTTGTACTTTCAGTTTCATCTAGCTGAGCCAGGCCTTTCCCATCTCTTTGCACGTCCAGCTCCATCTTATTTTTCCAGGTCTCGGTTCAAACGTCACCTCCTCGGAGAGACCTTCTCTGACCATCATATTTAAGGGACCTCCCACAACTTGGTACCTATCACATGGTTCTGCTTCTTTTCCTCAGAGCATGCAGAACAATCTGTAATTATGCTGCTGTTATTTACTTGTGTTTTCTGTGTTATATCCCATGGGAATGTCAAGCTTTGTGAGTTCAGGAGGCTTGTTTGTCTCGTTCCCTACTGGGTCCCCAGAACCTAGCCAAGTGCCTAACATGTTGTAGGCACTCAATAAACATTTGCTGAATGAATGGATGCGTGTACATTGCTGTGTTCAAGGAAGATGGCAGATTTCAAGAGAAGTCAAGTCACACATGCCATCCTGTGCAAATGTCCGGGGCATAGATGACAGGGCAGAGACAGAGGAGCAATGCCCCACCCTGGCATTCAGCGTTCTCCACCATGTGGCCCTAATCTGTCTCTCTCCTCCCATCCCCTCCCATCAGTTCCCTACCAGTACCCTGTACTCTGCCTAGCAATCCCAATTCTTGAACGACACCCTCAATTTTCTTGCCTCTAAGAACTTTCCTATACTGTTCTCTCTACTAAGAATTCCTACCTTCCCATTGTAGCGTTATAATTCTATTCCTTTGAAAGTGCCATTTCTAAGACTCAATAAATATTTAGTAAGCAACTTGTAGATGCCTGGCACTGCGTCTAACGGCTGAAAAAGCTGCCTGTACTTCTCTGTATGACCTCAGGAAGCCACTTTCCCCACAGTGGGTCTCAGTTGATTCACCTGCCACCGCCCAAGGTGTTTGGATGGTCTCTACAGGCTTCTCCAGCTCTGAAGATACTCTGATGCTCATGACGGAACCATAGGCCAGAGAAGAGAAGGAATGTCTGCGACAATCTACCTGCATCTCCTCCCAGGGTGCCGCTTAGAAAAACTCCCCTCTGCCTTCGATCGGCTCTTGTCTTCTCCCGCCTCAGTGCCTCCCAGACAGCTGGGCAACGTTTAACATTGGGCAGAAATCGATGCAGCCAATTTCTGAAAAACAAACAAACAGCCCCAGTGTCATGTTGAGGGTGATAATAGATTAGCAGTACCTTCGGATCAGAGGAGTCATTAAATATCGGGTTCCCCTGAGCGCTTACAGGAAAAGAGCTTCCAACACCAGTTGAACCTGCCCTGAGAGGACTCGACGGGTCCTCTCTTTACGGGAAGAAGAGTTTGTGTGAACGTGAAGCTGAAAAGAGGATCATGGTGACAAGTGTACCGCTCAGCCAGCCTTCCTCCTGCCCCAGCTGGGGCCCTCTTACTGGCACAAAAGACGTTAGAATGAACTTAATTCTTCTTATATCCACATCCTTTCGAGACACACCTGAGCTGAGTCAGACAAGGCCTCTAAGGAGCCCCCCACCCCTCCTCCCCAAAAGACAATGACATATAAGGGCTTTGGAATAGACACACATAGGTTTGCATCCTGTCCTCTTTTTGTTGGTTTCACGACGTTGATCCCATTGCTTAATGTCTTAGTTTCTTTCTGTCAAAGTAGCCATTGGAAGAATCATTAGATGTTGTATGTGAAGCACCTGGCAACATGTGGGGCTAGCGAGGGTGATCAACAAACTATATGTCTTTTCTCTTTGTGTATTATTCAGGTCATCACTATGAGCCTATACAGTCATGTTTGAATAATTTTTTTTTTTTTTTTGAGGAGGATCAGCCCTGAGCTAACATCTGCTGCCAATCCTCCTTTTTTTCTGCTGAGGAAGACTGGTCCTGAGCTAGCATGTGTGCCCATCTTCCTCTATTTTATATGTGGGATGCCTACCACAGCATGGCTTGCACCAAGCAGTACCATGTCCGCACCTGGGATCTGAACCAGTGAACCCCCGGCTGCCGAAGTGGAATGTCCGCACTTAACTGCTGCACCACCAGGCCTGCCCCCTATATGGTCATGTTTGAATATACAATTTCTTTCCCATGCCCCACTACCTGACCCCACATTTTTTTATCCAAGTGTTTGTGGAAGGATGTGAAACTCTGCTCACTCCCACAGGCCAAATTCATCCATCCAGCCTTCTGACTTGCACTTCTCACATTGTGTATCCCTCCAGGACATGCTGACCAAAGTCAATCACGATTGTTTGAGCTGCCTCCTGACTTCCCTCCCAAGATGGAGAGTTATTTAAGGACCCATGCATTGTGTTTGTTTCTATACCCCTATCACCGAGCTATGCGCCCGGTACGTGGTAAGTGTTTTGATTTCCTGTGGCCGAGAGATGAGAAACAACACCCTAGAAGAGAGGGAGACACAGTGATGGCGGGAGATTCAACAATGGATGGCTTGGCATAGAAGTCAAGAGGGACACATGGCTCTATTCATTACAGAAACCCAATATGTAACAACAGAAATTCATAGGGAAGAAATAACTTTTCATTCTCTACATCCTCATTCATTCAACAAATATTTATTGAACGTCGATTTTGCATGAGACTATGAGGCAGAGTTAAGCAATGAACTTCGAGTCTATCCTTCTTCCACTGAACCCAGTTCAATCTGGGAAGGATGGATGAGGAGCCCTGAAATGGAAGTCACTGTAAAGTCATCCCTTTTTCCTTCAAGGAGCTCAAAGCCTGGCTGGAGAGACAAGATTAGAAAGCAAGGAGTAATTATACATTTAAGGTATTAAACATATTATCTGTCACGTCAGTGCAAATATTTTGTCAGTTTGCTATTTGCCTTTTATTTTGTTTATGTAGATTTTGACATGGAGAAACTTTTCATTTGTATGTAGTCAAAGCTGTCAATCACTTTCTTTCAGCCTCTTTGGGTACATGTGTGTGTGTATGAAGGCTCTGATGGTTTCTGTGTTGGCGGCATTTTTTTGTTTTGCTAACTGCCAATTTTTATTTCTATTCGTCAAGACTATACTGAATTTGTATAAAATAAACATTGCTGGGGCCGGACCCGTGGCCCAGTGGTTAAGTTCACGCGCTCCACTTCGGTGGCCCAGGGTTTCGACAGTTCCGATCCTGGGCACCTACATGGCACCGCTCACTGGGCCATGCTTAAGCGGCATCACACATGCCACAGCTAGAGGGACCCACAACTGAAATATACAACTATGTGCTGGGGGGATTTGTGGAGGAAAAAAAAATTGCTTTTTTTCATTTTGCAAAGGAAATCGTTATAAAATTAAATAAAATACACGTGAATTGAACAAAGAACCTAATATAATGTGGAAGAGTGAAATTGTGTTCTAAACCTTCTGCTTAAGGAAGTAAGGAAATGTGCATTATTTCTTTAAAAATTATTTTTATGAAAAATGTCAAACTAAAAAAATAAATCTTAACCTCAGCTGTATTAAAAATTAATTTCCGTAGACTAACTTCTTTCCTAACCATTTTAATAAATAAATATGATTGCAAAAATGAGAAATGTGTGAGGAATGAGGAGCATTCCTGTCAGGGCTGTGCCACGACAGGAGTGACTGGGAAGGGAATAGTTATGGAAATTAACTTATGAATCAGATTCAACACACATTTATTGAGATCATTAGAATATAACTCATTTAGCCAGTGTAACAACTGTGCTGATCTATTTTTATTCTCATTTTAAAGATGAGGAAAATAAGAGAAACCAAGCTGTTTACTCTAAGCCATGTGAATGATGAGTTGTACATTTGAAATTCCAACCTATAACTTTAGATACAACGTAACTGGAGACGCTCCAGAAAGTTCTCTACATGGAGCTGAGACTCCCTGAAGCTGCCATGTAATGTTTTTCCTTCTCAGGGAAACAAATGAGACTGTAAAATAAAACGGAGACCAGGCTTGGAAATCCCCAGGCTGACAAAACTAAGCCACGTAAGCAGAACTAACTCTAACTTATTTCATGAACACAAACAAAACTTAATTGATGTTATTTCTTATAAATGTCTCTGATAATCATAAATGAAACTTAAGTCATCTTCCTAAAATGGTACAAGATAATCACTTTTAACCAATTGCCTGCCATCTGGAAACCTCCATTGTAATAACCCATCCTTATAACTCAAAGGTTCAACAACTTCCTCATTTTCACTTTATACGCCATCTTGTAGTGTCATGCCTCTGAGCTTCATCTCACTTTTGGGTTGGAAGACTCCCAGTTTGTGATCCATTCTTTTGTGCGCAATAAACTCTTACTAAATACTATTCTACTGGTCTGGTTTTAATTTTTGCTGTCTCAGGATTTCTGGCAAGACACGCAGACTGTGTCTATTATTAACTATTTTAAGCAGAGCACCCCAGGGTCTGGGTGTCCTTCTCAGAGATGTACCACCCCTTTGTCACATGAGAGAAAAGCGTGTAGTGTTTGCCACCTCCCATTTAATGCTCCTTTGTTTATAAGCATGCTCCCTTGCCTGTTCTGCTGGTTTCAACACTAGGAAGAAATGTGTGTCCCTT